ATCGACAGCATCAGACAGATATGTATGCATGTACATCCATCCAAAACAAGAAGGACAATTATCACTTAATAGAAACGTGTACAGTTTGCAAGGGGAGACTATGATATATTTATTATATTTTCTTAAGACTGTCATTTTCAGCTTACAATCGGCTTAGCTTTTTTTTAGTTTTAGTCTTATTTCCTGGTGTCACCCCTCTTTTATTATAAGGAACTTGGTTCATAGCAAGAAAGATGGACATAAGATACACCTAACTTTTCCAGACACAGTCCAAGTATTCGGGGTCATTGAGACAGTAGTTATCCGCAACTCCTGCAGCAGTGGCTTCCACGAAACCTCTTAGGCCCTTCCCCGGACCTCAGGTTCTCTGGAAAAAGACTATCTCAGGTGGGAGACCCTTGATTTCCTTAGTTCCCTCGTGTTCAGAATTTAAGGGATATGTTCACCATCACTTGCTAAGACACAGGAATAATAAGAATATAAATAGTTCTTAGCCAAGCAGGAAAGAGCTCCAAAATTTCGTCAGATTCACAGGTGCTCAAACCCCAGGACCGGACTCGAATCTTACAAAAGTCTTACGTGAACTGACCGCAAGCTTCAAGAACATAAGCAACTGAATGCACCAAAGTCCGGCGTCCGCCTGGTGTTCACTACACCTCCCCCGGCGCGGCGGCGCGGTGTATCACGTAGCAGGGGAATTTACAGCTTTGTTACAATGTTATTCATGAAGCAAGGCACTCTATCCACTGCCTAACGCGGAGTGCTTTACGTGGCTGCGACGAGGCAAGGGAGGATGAGCGACCATTGTGGCGGCTCTGAAGGAGGTGTCCACTTTGAAAGCGTTGGAGAGGCAAACGATGCCAAGTCAATATTATAAGCCATGTCTGTGACATTTTTTTCTCTTTTTTGAAGATATATATGTATGTGTGTATGTAACACGCTTTAAAAACTAGCTTTGTAAACGTATGTCTACGTTTATCATGTATTATACATTGTTATTTGTCTTTATCAATATATTTATTCCTGTTATGTATTGAAGACCATGTGCATAGCCATTTCACTTTCATGTATCACTATGATATTATAAATCTAAACCAAGAGCCTCTACCTACTCGACTGTCAATTCAATGTATCTCTGACATTAAAACCACAGTGTAATTGCTGTGGCTAAATAAACGTTTGAATTTTAATCTTAATCTGAATCCGAAAAACTAGTGGAACTTAAAAGTCTGAACATAAAAGTGAATACAGGCTAGG